CTTCAGTTCTGACCGATGTCCTCTGCCACGTCAACAAAAGGTTAACTGCTGCAGAGGTTGAACACATGTTCCAACCTGAGCTGAGTCCAAATGGAAGCAACAGGAAGGTCCAGGAGGACAAAACCATGAGCTTCTGGGCAGACTACCTACTTGATTGTGAAGGTAATTTGCTCTATTACAGGGGTTTTCAAATTGGGTGAGAGAGATAGACAGAGACAGACAGACAGAGTGAGAGAGAGACAGAGTGAGAGAGAGACAGACAGACAGAGAGTGAGAGAGAGAGACAGACAGACAGAGAGTGAGAGAGAGACAGACAGAGAGTGAGAGAGAGACAGACAGACAGAGAGTGAGAGAGAGAGAGAGACAGACAGAGAGTGAGAGAGAGAGACAGACAGACAGACAGTGAGAGAGAGAGAGACAGACAGACAGAGAGTGAGAGAGAGAGACAGACAGACAGAGTGAGAGAGAGAGACAGACAGACAGAGAGTGAGAGAGAGAGACAGAGAGTGAGAGACAGACAGAGAGTGAGAGAGACAGACAGACAGAGAGTGAGAGAGACAGACAGACAGAGAGTGAGAGAGAGAGACAGACAGAGAGTGAGAGACAGACAGAGAGTGAGAGAGACAGACAGACAGAGAGTGAGAGAGACAGACAGACAGAGAGTGAGAGACAGACAGACAGAGAGTGAGAGACAGACAGAGAGAGTGAGAGAGACAGACAGAGAGTGAGACTGTTTACATTCAGCTGATTATTTTCATATCTGTCAATTTTTAGAAAATAACACCTTGGTGTCCTTGGAGGAGCTCTTCATGTTTGCCACAGGGGTGCCACGCGTGCCTCCAGCTGGAATGGATCCAAAGCCACGCCTTGAGTTTCTCGCAAGTTCAACATTCCCAATGGCAAACACATGTGCCAATACTTTAAAGCTTCCTCTACTGGACTGCTACAGTACCTTTAAAACAAACATGGATTTTGGGATAAAGAATTCCCCTGGATTTGGATGTCATTAATTCAGTGTTAATGAGCTGTTCTGTGAGTGTTAATGAGTTAATGTTGTATCTTAATAGGATGTGTTGTGTTCAACAGTCAGTAAAACAAATGTGAAAAACCATACAAGTTAACTGAGTGATTGCAGTGGCCACATGTTCAGGCTAGTGTTTAAACATTGTCACAGGAAATTCTACATTTTATCCAGCAACTAGCACTGTTTATTGTTACAGTCATCAGCGCTTCAGAAGCTGAATGTGCTACTTTTACTCAATTTTTTTATGAATATAAAAAAAAAAACAGGCCAAAATAATTTGTGTGTTTGTTTATTGTATGGACTTGAACATTTGCACAAAACATACAGCTGTAATGTGTAATTTTATTGAAATGTACAACTTGTTACAACTTCAAGGATGGCAATATTAGGGCAGTGCCTTAAAAAATAACTCGGGGACAACACTGTTCCTCAAATCCTTTCCCTTTCACTTCAATGGTTTCCTGAACAGCAGGGGTAGTTTTAGAGACCAGCCATGTCCTTCAGTAGAACATAATTCTCCACAGCAGATTCCCACTGCAGAGGAGCTGCCAGACCTCTCTGCCGACGCAGTTCATCAAAAATGGGTTGCAGTTCATCATGAGTTGTTCGTGCAGGAAGTAGGCTGTATAAGTGGTGAACTGTTTGTGACGAAGTTGGGAATCCACAGTTCCTCCCATGGAATCTAGGGACAGGTACAGAATAATGTCAACATTAACAAAGTATTCAAAGCCTTGATTTTGTTTCACTTTTACTTTTATGACTAGCACTCTTTACAGTCTAAGGGTATTTGCAAAGACAAATGTAAAGCTAAAATACGAACAGAATCCTGGATGGATTGTGGCCCCTTGGGTGTTGTGGCAAAAGGGGGAATATGTGGGGCAGGAAATGGGGGTGTACAGGCGGGGCTGGTTTCATTAATCATTATTAAATTAATTAATTCCCTGTGTTTTAGACATATTTCAAATGACTATTTGTCCCTGTTTAAATATGTACATACATAATATAATAATACATGACAATGTAATACTCACCTGTGAGGCACATGATACATTGCTTCTGGTTTACCAGATGGGCATCTGGACTGGTGAACAGGACGGATAGTGTGGGTGTTCCAGTGCTGCCTGTAGGTGTCCAGTTCTTTTTGCAAGACCCCCAAAAAGCAGTATCGCAACAAAGAGATGTGCTCCTGACACCCATTGAAGAGATGCTTCTCCCTCAAATCAGCAAAGAGGTCCATCCAAAACTGGCTCCTACAGGGATAACACATATTTTACTGTAATGTTCTACCTAAAAAGGACTAAGTAATGGTTAACATTAGTATAAAATCAAGTTGTGAGGTTAAGTAAATTATACAAATGATAAAAACCTTTGTTTACGAAAGAAGGACCACCAGCTTTCAATGCGTTGGTTTGATGTTGATGTGCCATACATGTGGCTTTTGGACCCTGAAAATTCATCAGTGTGCTCTGACCTCAAGACACAGTGAAGTGCTGCCATTATTCCATTTTCTGTGCCACAGTCTGTACGGAGGCGCTTTGGGCATACTCTAAACTCAGTGACACAGTTGATATAATTTAGAGCAATGACCAATGGATCATTGTTGGATTTTGCACATTTAAGCCACATGATTTTTCTAGAATATCCATCAATACAGGCACTTATGGCGATTCCAAATGGCTTAAGTTTATCATACCCATCTACATGCCAGGTATCATTTGGTCCCGCAGAACAATATGCTCTCCGGACAAATCTGCGACTGGAGCGATTTGCTGTTCCTGCTGGATCCAGGCTTTTCATTAAACACATGACATCATCTCTTCTGGCCACGATAGAGTGCTTCTGTTTGAGAGTCTGCCACATTGCTCTATATCCTAGGAGCTGGCCTACTCCCCTTTGCTCCTCAGCAATGACTGCCTGAACAGTAGCCAGAGGAGAATAGTTGGTCCTCCTGGTCAAATTTGCATTACGTAGTCTTCTCTTTAAAGTGCTAAGGCTTAATGAAACCTTGTGCTTTGTTTTCAGCAAGTCCATTATTATTTCATAGCTGTGTCCTTCTGTGAAATATCTCTGTATTAGCTCATCAGCCACTGTTGAAGTCTCCGCACCTGAGGGGTAGAAATTCAAATAGAATATTATGATCTAACCTCGGCATAACAAAGTGGGACACAAGTCTATGGAGTAAGACCAACAATTCGAAATAGTTGCAACAAACTGAACTGCAAAGGAAAGCACAAACAATTATATAATAATCTTACCTACCTTCATACTGAAGACCTCTTAAAAACTGAATATTTCTCCCACATGAGCCACAGTAGGATACCACGGTTTGGAGGCTCACTCCACAAAATGGACAAAACATATCCTGATGACAAACACAAGGACAACTTAGGACTTAAATCTGACGGAAAATGACTAATAATCAATCCCTCAATGACTCTTACGAAGCTTAGCGTAATATCTATCGATAGCTGCAGCTGCACTATATGTGTTTCCGCCGCTACAAAGTCAGCAGCAAACCTGACATTGGTGGGCGGAAAACGAATAATGATAAAACAATAAATTACTTTTACTTACGTCTCCAACTTCTCCGTTCCTTTACTCTTCACGTTGTAGTTCTTCTTTTTCACTTGCCGCGTGATCCGTCGGAAAATAAAGTCCCGCGGTCACTGCTGTTGTGACTTTTTAATGTGTTGTAGTTTTTTAATGTGTTGTGACTTTTTAATGTGTTGCGGCATTTGCATTTGTGTTGTGGCGTTTGTATTTGTGGTGGCGTTTGCATTAAAATAGAGTCCCGCAGTCATTTCCATTGTGGCTTTTGTTGGTGTGTTGTAGCTTTTTTTGGTGAGTTGTGGCTTTTTTTGGTGTGTTGTGGCTTTTTGTTGTGTTGTCGCATTTGTATTTGTTGCGGCGTTTGCGTTTGTTGTGACCCCTCTCGGCTTCCGTACAAAGGGCACTGAGAAATGCAGTGTAAATGTTACAGCAAAACTACAACAGTTTGCTGCAGCAAAACTTAAATTTTCTTTAGGATAAATAAAGTATCTCTGTCTCTAATAGTGCACATATATTCTCATAGTGGTGCTATCTCAGCTATTCTCTCTTATGAAGAGACACATTCATTTATTTATTTGTTTGTGTAAAAAGAAATTAAATGTAGTGGTTCGTCGTCATCTCAAACAGTCTTTGAATATTTACAGGTAATACATTGCATTTTTCATTATACATTACTTTTAGGATACTTAAGTTAACAATATCATACATTTTCAACACTTTAGGTTTTACAATTAGTGGGTTTGATGGCTCTCTATAAAGACTGTTGGTGATAATTCTCAAGGCCATTTTCTGTAAAATAAATAATGGATGTAGGTAAGTTTTATATGATGGCCCCCCAAATTTCCACACAGTACATCATGGTACATATGGTGCAATTATAGAGTTATACAAGATTAATAATGCTGCACTATTGTATTTAGTGAGAACATTACTTTATACAGCACAGCAATTGCTTTTGAAATTTTGCCTTTAGTGTGATTTATATGAGACCTCCAGTTTAGATTTTGGTCATGACTCCTAAAAATTTAGTTTCATTTACACTTTTAATCAGTATCTTTATCATCTATTTCTGATATTATGTGATCTTTTTCTTGTTATCATTAAAAAAACGCTATATCATCAGCAAACAGAATTTTCCCAAGTTCAGATACTTTAACAAAATCTTTTATATATAAAATAAATAATTATATTAACATAATAATTATTAACACACTAGAACACATGTTCTAGTGTGTTGTGTACAACAATGAAACAATGCCTCTTGGTGGGTGTGTTGTCATTGCCATCTGGGTGCATTGTTATTTTTTCCACGTACAATCCAGTTTAACTTCTCCTATTGTGAAGATGTTTGGCATCTTGATTTTTAAGGATAGTCAGGGAGCGTCACGGGGAGCGTCAGGTAAACCGGAAGTGATGTAGTGTGTGGAACTAAACTGCGCACACTCCATGGATCACACTCCCGGGACAAGTACATTTTGAGTATGCTCATGGATCAGGAAAGATTTGTTGGGAATTCGTTAACATTTTAGATGACGATGAGACTGATAAATCACGCCTTAAGGACTTCTGCTTTTTCCATTTAATGAAAAGCAACGGATATGATGCGCGAGGTGGTTCCGCATTCGTATCTAATTGGAAGCACTACACTTGAGATTACATGTCTATGACAGCAAATTGTCACTTGTAGCTCTAAGAATAATGAATACACACTTTCCCGACAGTCTCTGTTAAAGCCATGGATGAACGTCGCAAGAAGAAGCTGACTTACTTCACGATTGGACTTCTCTTCCTTCTCAGCGGTGTGGAATATGGTGCGTTTTGTTTTAATTTATATCTTTACTGCAGTGTTTATTTATTTTTTGAATTGTTTTGGTCTTTTTTATTTAGGGTAAAACAACGAGTCATTGTACCATTTGAATACGCTTTATTCTATGTATTATGTGTTATATCCTGAAGATTTAACCTATTACCAAATAAGTTTATAATTTACAGTAGGTAAGCTAAGGAGGACGTTATACACATATATGTAAGTCTTTGGACAATTTTATAGATTTTCTTAAGACACACTTATTGGTGTCTCATGACTATGTAATTGTATTTTGATTGTGTCAGCTCAGCAACACCCCTTCCCTCAGTAATAAGGCTACATAAGCAAGAAGAACAGACACACTGCATCACATGATCCCAAGTTTTCTCCACCCAACCTTTGACTTTTGGGCTGTATATTTCTTTTAAAAATGTTTGTTCATCAGTCTCTTAAGCAATCATGAGTGTCATTGTCCACGGTGTGGGCTAGATTGCTGTATTTACTTTAGAAGTTAAACACTTTTCCATTTGTCAGTCCATTTTGTGTAACTTCTGTGCTCTGGCTTTGTGTGTCCTTCAGCTGTAATATTACCAACAATATGGAGATACTTGCAGACTTTGGATGCTGCTCCATATTTCCTGGGTTTGTCTCTCTCAGCCTTCAGCTTCACCGGGCTCCTTTCAGGACCACTCTTCGGGCAATGGTCCGACCGAACACGAACCACCAAAAAGATCATATTGTTTGCCAATCTTTTTGAGATTGTAGGTAAGAAACCAAACCTTACCCAGATACTGTGAACAAAGATATTTGGTCAAGTAAGATTAAAGAAAAATGTTTCTCTCACCCCGTGTCTCTTTCTTTCTCTCTCTCCCTCAAGGTAATTTTATGTACTTTATGGGCCTTTCTAAGTGGCTCCTTCTGTCAAGTAGACTTGTAGCAGGTATGGGAAAATTATATAATAGTATAACTAAAATCTTAAAATAAAGTTTTATAAATATGTATTATAAATAAAGTAAATTTTTTGGAAAATTTACTCTTTCCAGGCATTGGCACTGGTGCTGGCTCCTCTATCTTTGGATTTTTAACAAGAAGCACTCTTCCTGAGGACCGGGCTTCGGTTTTTGCTGCTGTCATGGCATGTCGACAAGCTGGCCTTCTAATTGGTACATAGGCCTATTTGAAGTTTCTTGAAGTATTTCTTATACAGTAATCATGTAAAATGGTTGATCACAACTTCACTAAGTTTACCATTGATATATTATTACAAACCTTTCTTGTGAATTTGTTTAGGTCCAGCATTTAATATTTTCCTAAGGTTGTGTGATTTCCATTTGGGACCTTTTGTCGTCAACAAGTACACAGCTCCTGGGGTAATGATAATGTACTAGTACTAACTATACCAAGCTATATTGTCAATTCAAATAATCTTTTGTTGCAGCTCTTTATGTGCACCCTTTGGATCCTACTTCAACTGGTTATTGTATTCATGTACTGGGACCTGCCACCACTGGACAGAATTAATGCCAAAGACAGGCAAACAAACAGGAGCAGTGAGAATGAGCAAGGAGCTGAAGATGATGAAGACAACAGTGATGAGGCCCAACCACTAATGCACTCCCAGGAGGTCCATGGCTCATATGGCTCAGTGGTGACGCCTGACCAGTCTAACAACCACATCTGTGCTGACACAAATCAAATCTGCCCATCCTCATCTCCAGCAACAGAGTCTCAGGAGACGATCAACCCCTTTAAAAATTTTAACTTATCCAGGGGTAGGTAGACAGTCAGTCAGTTATTAAGATGTTTTTCTATTTATATATGCTATATGCGAGTGAGATAAACTAATCTGTGTTTTATTCCTGTATTTTAGAGTTCCTGAGAGAAGAGGTGGTTGTCTTGCTGGCAGCTCAGTTCATTACCCTGTTTAATCAAACTGCGTTAGAGGTAATGACACACTGACCTTAACAAGTGACTTTATATGCACTCTTTTGTTTTAGACTAGGCTTTGGTTTTCATATTTGCCAGTGTGGTCAATAATAAAAAGCATTTGAAGCAAGCACACTGTCACCAGGGTGGTACACCGCTGATAATGCAATTTAAAGGTCCTAAATTACACAAAACTGCCTCATGTGAGCTTTTAGCCATGTTACAATGTTGTTACCTCCTCATAAACATACCTGGAGTTTGTTTTGTTTCTTAAGTTCAGTAGTTGTGAACAATTCCAGAGCTGAAATGATCAAAATGGTTCTAGTGCAGGTGTAGGGAGTTAAAAAAAACACAGTAGATCACTTGTATTACCACATCACATCACAAGGTGGAGCAGAGTGCTTTCTGTTTGAGAGAGAAGTTCATCCTAAATATGCAGAGTTTGTGTGTTAAACATATGTGAAAAAAACAAAAATACAACTCCAGGTATGACTGTGATGAGGACATTACAACATTATAAAATAGATTAGAAAATAGCACAATTGCAGGGCCTTTTAATTTAAACATTATAGAGAGTTGCCTTTTAAAAAGATAAACCTTTTGTGGCATTAAAAGTGCAAACAGCCCTACTTATCTTATGTACATTTGCATTTTCCGGAAAACCTTGAGCACTTATGCAATGAGGTTAATGATATGTTGTCTGACCAGCTAGTCATACAGCATAGAATATTGATTTCCTCTGCCTGATCACAGCCTGTTGGTACATTTTTGTGACTTTCAGGTTTTGGATCATGATATGCATTGTAATCTTGTACTAACATCAGGTTGTCCTTTACTGCATCCACATATCTATTCTTGCATTTACAGGCTTTCAATGTTCTACCTAGACCGTGCATTTTATTGATTGGCCATTTACAGTAAATTTGACAGAATTTGTGTGTCATTCACAATTAACACTATACTATGACCTCAGCTGACCTCTTTCCACATACTGAAACGTTAAGTGTATAAACAAATTCCCTTAGTCAATAAGACCTTTTATTCATAATTTAATCTTCTAGCAACTTCCCTCAAATTTTCTGAAACTTTCTAAATATAGGCTAATGTAATTTTCCACCCCTCTTAATGTCTTTTGTAGACCATGGTGACCCCGCTGACTCAGAAGTTCTTTGGCTATGGCGAGCTGGAGAACAGTATCATGTACTGCCTATGTGGGGTGGAGGTGATCGCGGGCTTCTTTTTTGTGCACTGGTTGAGCGGTCGTGTAGCTGAGAGGGTGGTCCTGGCTGTTGGCCTGGCGATCTGCAACATCTCCAATGTGTGGTGCCTCATCTTTATGGCCTCCCCAATAGGTCAAAATTCAAGTTATTGCTCCTTTAAATGTTGACTGTTAACTGTACCCTAGTACAGCTGTTTTAGTAGTTTTGTTGTTGTTATTTTGGCTAATGTTTTTTCTGCTCCTTCGTTGGGCCATGTAGGAGACTTTCCTTGGAAGCTGACTGAGTTCATCATTGGGGTGTTTCTTCAGGTTTTGGGTTTGCCGTTTGTGGCTGTGGCTCAAGTTTCACTGTACTCCAAAGTCACAGCAGAGAAAACACAAGGTATGAAACTTTGCATGCCTGTTTGTGGGGTTTTGTGTTATTTTTTGACATTATGTCTTTTGTGATTTTGCAGGATTCAGTCAAGGAGTGCGTCGTTCAGTTGGGGGTCTTGCCACCATCCTGGGGCCTCTCTGGGCTGGAGGTCTGACGGACAATATGTACATCATGTTGGGAGTCATGATGGGTCTTCTCGTTCTTTTATCAGTAATGTCATCTCTCATGCATATTTTTCAATTAACAAATATTTTATTTACCATGATGCTAAAATAGATTCTGAAAATACAATATCGTATCAGCTCCAAAACAGAATCCAACACCAAGGGTTTTTTGTGTTTCTTCATTCAGTAAATTCTATAGCATTTTATTGCTTTAGGCTCACATCTGAAAATGAATATTGTCCTATAATTCAATGTCTAATTTGCTCTGGATAAATTAATTGTCTTTTGATCTAAGACAAAAATTGTCTGCTATCTGTTAACATAATCATGATGTTGCAGGTCATGCTGGTTTTCTCCTATAAGCGTCTGGTTGAACCTGCTGCTGAGGACCAGAGGTCCACATCGGAAGACTGCTGAGCATGTTCACTGAGAGAGTGAAGGCAGTGAAGGGAAGTGCACCTCATCTTACTGCCTCACACATTTATAAAACACCTACATGTATGTTTCCCATGGAAATGTGGACTCGTGTGGCATGTCATTTCACATGTTTTGATGTTTAAATTTTTATACTGACTCTCAGAAAGTGTCACACTAATACAAGCCATTTTGGTAAATGGTAAATGATAAATGGTCACATTTTTATTAGAGCCTTTCCACCTTAAAGGCACTCAAAGCGCTCAACGGTATTAAATCTGTTGATATCTTAAATGCTGCATTGCGCAACACACTTTTTATTTATTTAAAATATGTATTAATATCTAACATTATAATAATATTTTTGACAGAAAATGGTCTTTGTGCACAGCAGCATGCTAGCTAGCTCACTGTGTCTCAAAGCTAACACTCACTTTTAAATGGTACAGCATAAAATAAACAATCTATTATTTTTTTTATTTAAATAAAGACAACCCAATTATTATTATGTGTAGAATAATTTTTGTGGTGTTATTGTAATATTTAGTGTGCCTCAAAATTAACATTAGCTTTACCTTTGAGGCACAAATATCTCTTTCTTAAGGCAGAAGCATCCTCCACTGAAGTATTCATTTTATTTATGTGTCAGGGAACCAACCACTACTCTCCGTTTCTGCTTTATCTTTAAATATTTATTCAATGTAGTGCAACTCTGCGAAAACCTCAAAAACTGTACAGGATGTAGTGACACTAACAGTAAGGTTGTTGGGCACAGATAAATGTATAGGCAGGAATGGTCAAATATTCAAAGTGTACATTTCATTTAGATGTACTTATCAGCAATAAAACCAAGAGTTTGTTTTGCTATTATTGGACACAAATTCCCTTGTTAAGACACATTTTTACTGCTATTTGTTGAAGAGGTCGTTTATTGTATGCCATTACTTTCACCACTTGGGGGCAGTCACATACTACGATAACGCCAAAAAATGTAGAGCGCTTTTCCCACTGTGTAGAGGATACATGGCACCCTAAAATAAAATATGAAATATAGCAAATAAAAATGTTAAATTTTGAAAGTGAAATTTTCACACCTTTTTATAATTTTTGACTGAGGCTTTGCCATTTTTTAGAAATATGTAATCATTTTCTGTTACAAATTATCAAATTATAAATTGTTTTCAGTTGAAAAACACAAGTAAAATTTCAGCATCTATTTTTATTTGTTTTAATATTAATATATTTTAATATATTAAAAAAAAAAAAAAAAAAAAAAAAAAAAAGGTCCAAACTTGGACTAATAATATCCCAGGTTATTTCCCAAATGTGTATTTTGTTTGATTTAAATGATGATGATATAATTACATAAATGGATATATTCTTTCATTTCTCAAATGAAAAATATATAAAGTAAATAATTGTTTATTTAATTCATACATTTATTTATATAAAGATCATTCTGACAGTGGGCAATTTTTATTTTTATTTAATTTTTTGAAAATCATATTTTTTCCTTACTTTAAAAAGTGAGACTAAATGGGACGGACTTATTCCACAAGTCCATCCCATAAATGAAAAGACACAAGCTTTTTTGTTACAGAAATATACTTTTTTGAAATTGATGTCCCCTGTCAGGTAGCAGCCTTCTTGCCTGTCAAGTAAATAACTTCTGAATATTTCCTGGTACCATGTTTTTCATTCTTTAACATGGTTATGGGTGCTTTGAACCAAACCAAGTCTGGAAACTTCAGCTACTTGATTCCAGGAAAAGCCTGTTTTGCTCTTGGTACCCAACCTCATATGGTCTTTTTTAAAGTATCTCTAGTGGTTGCAAGTTGCAGGGATATGTAATGGGAAAACAAAGCCTGTCATGTCTGTATGTTCATTGTTTTATAGTAGCCTGAAGTAGTAATTTTTCAATGTACAATTTGAATACAGAGAAAGCTCTACTATAAATATATTACAGTTCAGAGTACAAACAATAAAAAGGATAAACACTGGACCTAATGGCTAAGTTGTTGATTTTGTCATTTGATGTTTTGATTTTAAAGCTGATTATCTAAGAAAGCAAAACGGCTAAAAAGCAGTTTGACATAAAGCTGAAAATAGCTCTTTGATCTGAATGGTCACTACCTAAACCCCAGCCCCTGTAGCTAATCATTAATCTGTGCTAGTGCAGCCTCACCAAGTGAAACAGTATATACATGATTAACACTGTACATACAACATGTAGTTTCTAAGCTTTCACATGAGGCATGGTAGCATAGCCATATTGAATGTTAATTTGTGTGTATTTATTTAAATAATATTATTGGTGGTGGTGTTGTGGTGGGATTTTGTTGTTCTACTTTGTTTGTCCCCCGCTGGGTGTCGCTGTGGCCTTCCTTCCCACAGACCCAAACGAGGCCATTGTTGTGGGATTTGAGTTTAGTGATGCCATGTCATCTGTCTGATGATGTGCTTGTGAGGGGGCGTGGCCACGCTGAACTTCGCCTGACCCCAGAGTTGAGTTTGGGCGGGGCCGATGCACATGTTATTACACAAGACAGGCACATTGAGATATTTTGGGTATTTCTGAGTTGAACTTGATTCCCCCTCACCACCACCATCACTGCTTTCACACACACTCTGCCTACAGCGCGCTCTGACCGAACAGTGACCCTACGAATCAGGGTCACTTCATAGCTGCACTAGCTAGCTGTCGTCGGGTAACTTTGGCCTTTTCCCTCCTCCCCCTGCGATCACAGGCTGTAATACTCACTGGCATATAAAGCTCAAATCGACGATCAACGACACATGAACTCTGGATGAACTGTCGTGGGGACACAAAGGGCACGTAGAGTTTAGTAGGACTTTTTATTATTATTTATTTTTCCTGTCTGGTTTCAGGCCTCAGTGATCCGATCCAACCAACTGGAAGATGTCCTTTGTAGATGAAATGCATTTGTGCTTATTATTTATATATTTATTTTATTTTTTTATTCTTTTACTTTTTTGTGAAAGTAATAATATAGGCTATACTCATTTTATGTATATATTTTTATTTGACTCATCTTTGGTACTCACAGTTTTTAAGTTGTTTTTTTTTTCTTATGTTTTAACATTTAGCTGCTCCTTTTCCCCCACAGCTAATAAGTAATTATAATAAATATTATGATTCATTTTATCCAGGATGTCCAGGCTGGTAGCAACATTAAAGCCTGTATTGAGTCTTACATAAGAGCAATATGCATCTCAATCAATAATTAAAACGATTTATCTTTAATTCATTTATTTTTTTACGCACTGAACCACTGAACTGTCACCGTCTGCCTGTGATATAGATCTACTGACTGTGACTGATGAACTACTTGTAGTCATATTGGGCAAAGTATCAAGTTTGTGCAGTAATTTTTCAGTACTTTGAAGTATCTCTGTCATAACACATATTCTTCATCTACCTTTCTTTTCCCTTTCGCACGTATTCCACTTTGATCATTTCACAAGTTCACAGTTGAAGAATAATACCACACTGGCCTATAGTCGTCTTAGACTTATGAGGGTGGTCGAGAGTGTAATAAATGGACAGAAGTGCTTTCTGGAGTGAACTTCTGAGCCTTTGTGCTGTCAGGTCCAATCAAATATTTAGTGTGGGACTGGTGTCACATAGTTCTATGTTTGGTACGAACGCACTTGCCACACTCGAATCAAAACGGTGGCAGCATGTGAACCTGTAAAAGTCCAAGAGTGTCCCCACAAGTATAGCAGTCCATGTCAATAATACATGAGTCACTTTGAGAGGTGGCACAGCTAAAAACACCACACTTATGGAGAGACAGAGATTAAGTGTGTGACTGAGGTACAAGTATGCACCCTAGCAAAAATAGGTATACTGTAAATATGGCTTGTGAAAACAGAGGTAAAGGTTTGTGCCTTACATAATTGTGTTAAATAAAAAAAAGACATTGCTATAAATACTTCTACTTTATGTGTTACTTTGTCTTTTTGTATCTCAATTCTATCCGTATCTTCTGATATTGTAGTTAGACTGTTAGATTTAAGTATATTTTTAATTAGTTAGTTCTTTGCATTTTTTGTAGTCTTACTCAAATGTTTTCAGTTTTGGATACAGTTTCTTCTAAATTAAGCAGTTCTGTCTTATTTCTTGCCTTTAAATAGTAGGCGGTGTTTCCCCCTCTGTGCCCAGCTCCAGACACAGAATAAAATGCCACTCCATCAGCAGTACTTGAGCCTGGTTGAGTTGAAAAGGTCATTATAGCCTGGTTCTGTGAGCTGCTATGAAATGTCACAAGAAAAGGCCCATTTTCTCTCACTGGTTTCATCCGAGAAGCTCGATTGTGTAACTTCTGAGTCAATGAATTATTAAGACTCTGTAGCCTTTAGACTGTGTTTGCATGTGCAGGATATGAAGTGTTATAGTGCAAAAGTGTGATAGTTCTTTCTATAGTGCCTCTTTGATGGGTACTTTTCACAGATATGGATGTTTTCGTGTTAACCCTTTCATTTGTGCCTTTTTTATATGAATGCTTCTTCCCAATGTATTATTTATAAAAAAAAAAAAAAAAAAGTGTTGCTCAGGAAGTTATTGTTTTATTTTTGGAAAAATGCTTAAGGCAAATAGGCCTGATGGAATGAAGGAAATATTTTGATATGAATTCTTAGATTATTATAGTCATAATCAATATTATTATTATTATTATTTAATAATTTTGATTGATGTAGAGTATTTTATTCTTTTGATATTTTCATGATACATACACAATTACACTTGACCTTCAAGTGTGTTGTTGTTGTTTTTTTTATTTTTTATTGTAGACTATATATCACAATAATCAACAATATATCACAAAAAATATTGATATCTCAATACTGGGTGATGCAATAATCAGTATCGCAAGAAAATTGAATATTGTAAAACATTGTTCTAATGAAACAGCACAACTGTTTTGTATAAATATTTTGTATTTTTAAAGTGAATTGGAAAAAAGACAGATTGTATTCATGATTTCCTGTCTTTGTCCTATATTAGACTCAGTTTGGTCTTGGTTTAGTCTCTGTTAATTTTTGTTTTAACACAGTTTGATAAGAAAAATTAAGGGATTTTTATTTTTTATTTAACTGAACTTTTTGAGCCAAAAAGTTAAAAGTGTGGACTCACGCTGTCATAAAAAAAAAAATTCCTACACGTTTCCTGAAGACATCAAATACAAGAAGTAAGATGTATGGGATTATGTAGCAATGAAAATAAAAGTTAAATCACTCTACTATATATTGTTTATATATTTCATAACCAAAAATCCTGAAATTGCTTTGTTGAAAAATATTTCATTGATTTTTTTTTTTTTTTTACATAACTCTACATAATTCCATAGATCTTACTTCATGTATTTGATGTCTTCTGTATGTGTATCAAATGTAGAAAGTAGTAAACAACATATAGAAAAAACCCTGAATGAGAGTCCAGACTTTTCACTGGCAATGTATATTAAGATATCTCATAATGTCGCAATACAAAACGTCTCAACTCACTGTGCAGCCCTATGCTTATGGACTACAAAATGTACAGTACTACAAACGTACAACTATTTTTAATAAACATTTCCCAGTTTTATTTTCCCTCTGGCCCTGCTCCGTCCTCGTGTGCCCATGTGCGGCCTTATACAGATTATGGTGGAGCCCATCTGTAGCACAGCGGCCCACAACACGCTAAGCCCCGCTCAGCAAGCCACCACCACCATAGTTAACCCTGATTAAGTTGACGTGGTGTTCGGTATACAGAGAACAGTGTGAAAATCAAGCAAGGGCTGTGACCTAGTGCCCTGCCACTGAACCACACTCAAATGGGCCAAACTCGGACAGAAAGGGAGGAGGGAGGAGATGGACAGACAAACAGTAGCAGAACATAGAGGAGGAGAGAGAGGGAGCATGGAAAGAGCCGGGCTAAAGGCTTCTGCTTTTTTCTACTTTCAGCAAACACAATGCTAAATACCCTCTAGTGCTAGAAGCATCCGTAGACCGCAGAATTGTACGTGAAGTTAAAATAAATTTTAAATAATGATACATGGTTACAGTATTATCACAGTAGAAGTTTGTAGTAGAGATAGTAATACCAAATGTGGTGTACCTTCTTTCTGCATAACAGTATTGTTTCATACATGATTCACTTTGTTGTTGTATTTTTCCGCATTTGCAGTACCCTCAGATTCGTTTAACCATGTTCAAAGTAAACATTTTGATTATCTTGTAATGTAATAATAAAGTGTATCCACAGAGCTTTACATGAAATATTCATCAGCATGAGAAATAATGGTGTTCTGAGCAGAGGTTATGAGCAGGGTAAGAACTGGAGCATAGTTAAAGATGGCAGCATATGGCCGTGCACACTGCAATTACTTTTATTCCATGAAGTTTCATTCATGTTTCAGTCCCTGAGGCGCACTCATGTGCTTATACAGCTTTAGTGCAGAGAAAAGTGCAGTGACGGCCACTGCTACTCTGGTGTTTGAGTATGTACTTGTATAAAGCAATATCAGTCCAACAAATCACTTTGAATTCATTGTGATTTAATTTATAAAGTCACTTATCTCAACTGTATAAGAAATTGATTGGCATATTTTTAGGTAAAGGATACCATATGTAAACAAGCCAAAATCGCCTATTATGTCTGGCTAAACTTATCTTTTCTTTATTTATTTTTCAGCCTAGGAACTAACATTAAGTGTAAAAAAGTGCCTTATAATCATATTTAGTATAAAGATTTTACATACATTACATACAATATTTTAAAATGTGTTTTCTAAATACATATAATAATGTACTTTCCTCATGAGATGATATTAGAGAATTTGATCCATAGCCATGCAATTTAAAGTAAAATACTTGCTACATGATAGATATGCAAGATGCAAGATAAAAACCCTTCTGTAATAGATTGTGACATAGGCCCAATCAAATGTGCGGATAATACCTTGTAATACCCTGCATCGACCGCACCAACCTCGG